AAAAAGAAATCCTTCCTGAAAAATGTCAGGAAATCTCTGGTTTGATATCACCCAGCTGGCTTCTTTCATCAAATGATGTACATGCACCGGCCATGATATATTATTATAATGCCTCATGCTGATTTCTGTATCTGATTAATGAGTTTCTAAACAGGTAGTGAGAAATGGCTGACTGTTGGCAGACCAGATGAAGGAAGTCACCTTTGCTTTCTGCAGCATGCCCAATGCCTACTTGTTAATTATTTCTTGCACTGGCCTCTGTGGACAGCAATGAGGTATCATCTTCCTTTTCTTCCCTCACACATGAAGGATGGGATGCCATCCAGAGGGACCTGGGCAAGCTCAAGATGTGGGCCCATGGGAACCTCATGAGGTTTGACAAGACACAAGTATAAGGTGCTGCACCTGGCTCAGGGCAACCCTTAGTATCAGTACAGGCTGGGGGAGGAACAGATCGAGAGTGGCCCTGCTGAGAAGGACTTGGGAGTGCTGGTGGATGAGAGGCTGGACATGACCTGGCAGTGTGCACTTGCAGCCCAGAAAGCCAAATGTATCCTGAGCTGCATCAAAAGCAGTGTGAGCAGCAGGTCCAGGGAGGTGATTCTACCCCTCTACTCCACTCTGGTGAGAGCCCAACTGCAGTGCCGTGTCCAGCTCTGTGGTCCCCAGCACAAGAAGGATATCAAGCTGTTGGAGCGAGTCCAGAGGAGTGCCAGCAAGGTGATTAGAGGGATGGAGCACCTTACCTATGAGGAAAGGCTGAGAGAATTGGGTTTGTCAGCCTGGAAAAGAGACAGCTTAGGGGTGACCTAACTGTGGCCTTCCAGTACCTGAAGGAAGCCTACAAGAAAGACGAGAGGGACTTTTTACAAGAGCATGTCAGAAGAGTGACAGGATAAAATGGAATGGATTTAAATTAAAAGAGAGTAAGTTTAGATTAGATATTAGGAAAACATTCTTTACTGTGAGGATGGTGAGGCACTGGAACAGGTTGCCCAGAGAAGTTGTGGATGCCCTGTCCATGGAGGTGTTCAAGGCCAGGCTAGGTAGAGCTCTGAGTAACCTGGTCTAGTGACTCCTGCCATAGCAGGGGGATTGGAACTGGATGATTTTTAAGGTCCCTTCCAACCCAAAGCATTCTATGATTCTATGATCTTGCCTAGTCAACTAAGTGGAATGAGAGACAAAGAATATCACCTTGCACAAAGACCACTACGCTCCTGAAAGGGGGAGAAATCAGTCTTTGTCTTCAGAAGGTACCACTTCAAAGACTGGTATTCCTGGGTAATAGTTCAACAGTACCAGCATAAACCATAAGGGACAGAATTTCTGCCTGAAAGCTGTTCACTAAGTCTGCAGGATATGGGAAACTAAGCATATGTTGTGGGGGTTTTTTTGCCACAAACCACAGCTGTAAATAAACCGTTATTCTGTACTAGATAGAAAGGTCCTTATCCCTAAGTGTATTTTCCTTGAAATGATACTGGGCCCAGTATGAGGCCCAGCTGCTTGACTGAATGCTTTCAGACCACCATTTTTGCATCTTCCCAAAGCAACCTAGCCCTAGATAAGGGTGTTCTAAAAGCAGATGAATAGCTGAGGTCTGTAATCTTGGAAACTGGTTTTTCCTGGAAACACACTGTGACATCCAAAGTGCTGTACCATAATTCTTGATGAAATTATGGGCATTAGTGGCATCTCAAATGCATTACTATCATTTAGGTAATGGCAACAATTAATTAGCAATTTTCATTTGCTGTATTTCTTGTTGCTATACCAGAATTCATTTCTAAGACAATCTGTTATCCAATGAGTAAACTGTCTCATCTCTTCTAGATTGACTTGTTACATGATAAAGGATCTTGCATTTGTACAGGGCATCTGAAGCCTCTCTTCAAAAAAGGACAAGAGACACTGAGCTTAGTTATTTCCATCTCTCACTTCTGGAATTGCATTGAAACTGAACCAGAGTTTAAACAACTTCCTGTATACAAAAGAAAATATTGGTAAAGCAGAGATCTGAAAGTCCAGGTTTTCTTTTACTAAACATAATAATTTCATATAGCTTTTGACCAATATTTTCTAGTGATTTTGAATGTAAAAGTAAAAATTTAATAGATGTTATCTTTAAAGAATTAGATGGCAGATTTTGCTCCTTGTGCTATATCCAAATTGCTGCCGTTACTCTAAACCACAATTCATGTTGTTTATAGGCAATCCATAAAAGCACAAATTAGTATAGTTTTGCAAGCATGTAGATAGAGCGCTGTTGACTCTGTATGTATTGAAAACTTTACCTTCTTGGTTGATTTCATTGCCTTTCAATCACCTGTTAGAGAAGACAAGACAGAACTATAGATATGATGTTTTGGGTGCCACTAAAAACACTTGGAGTGGGCAAGAAGCCTTTTCTGCACAATGGAGCTGGCCCTAGAGCTGCATCCTGGTCACCGTGTGATACTGAACCTGCCCTGCATTGGACCTGAGACCATACTGAAGACATCTGCCTCCTAAGACATTGCAATGGATCCTCTTCTGTTGTGGGATGGCTGTAGTGATTTCATTTGCACAGTAGTCTTGAGCCAGGAGACCTGTATGTTGCTCTGATGAGGATACTTTAGTCACAGGCAAGGAAAGCTTCAGAGCAACACAGAAAGGTAAGGATCTGTGAACTGAGAAAATGAAAATTTGGTAGCTACAACAGAGAGATGTGAGACAGGACCGAGCAGAACAGAGCTATGATGTTGCCAGAGTAGTGGACAAGTATGTTTGTCCTCTGTATCTTATATTACTTTTGGGCACAGTTCATCTTTTTGATTGAGTGTATTGACGTACGTTGGTTATGGAAAGGTGAAACAAAAAGCAGCATATTCCAGTTCGCACAGTGACAACAGGGATGTGCTTTATGTAAATGCAGTGAGATAGCCAGAGATCATCCAACCCAGGGAACAAAGACACGGGGAACAAAGACACATTTAGTCTGCAAAGACTATTCTTTGCTGAAGTGTAAGTGTACATTCCTGTACTCACTGAAGCAGTGTTCCTATCTGAGCTCTACAATACATGACAACCTGAAAAGCAAGGTTTAAGCCTTTTACATGCTATAATAGAGTTTGCCACAGAGAAACAGGGACGACACAGATGGTTGTTTGATCATCTGTGCAGGATCTGCCTTATGGCACTACAGAATAGGTTTTTTTCACCATTGATCTTTGTTAAAGAGACAAAGTGTGCTGGGCTTGTTTTCATCAGCTTTTGTTTGTTTCTGCAAACAAAAAGGGAACTGTTGAGAGCTGTATTCAGTGTTGGCAATGAAGATCCCACTTTTTCTTTCCCATTGTCTTCTTCAATTTGCTAGCTAGTAACAGCATATAAAAAACTGCCCTCTGCCTTCTCACACAATTGTCCTGAAACATTTTGGTATGCCTGCACCCAGGAGAGTATTCAATCAGTTATTAAACCTGATGTAGCTAGTATAGTTTGTTGCTGAATTATAGCTAGAACACCCCTAAAAATGCTATTTTAATTTTAAGAAAATTATTCTGGAGCCTGTCTTACCAGTCTAATTCTCAAATGTTGCTAGGGAAATGGAAGGCTGGGCAGAGAAGCAGTAACTGAAATGTGTGTGATTTCAAAGATTACTGTACCCATGAGCGTACTTGTGTCCACACTGGTTGGACACACCAAGACTCTTCTCCCCTGATTGCCATTTTGCTTCTTTTGCCAAGAGGCAAAAGGCTTGGTTCTTCTGCCACTGAGGAACAGCAGTGAAGAAGGGCCAGTAAGACAGACCCACCCCAAGGGGCTGCCAGGCTTAATCTGTGGGTGATTCCAATGTGTTCCAAGTGCCACGTAGGACTTCCAGCTGTGCAAGTGTTCTAGCTCAACCCTTTGCAGCTCCCCTTCCTCTTTTGTTTGGGGTTTCCCCCCCCCCCCCCCCGTTTACTAGCAAGGAAGCCCTTCAAGTGGATGGGGAACAGAGCCAGCCCAGGGCTCAGGAGGAACAATGACCAAAATGCAGCTTGTAAACCAAAACCTCCTGAGGGGCTGCTACTAAAAGGAGATCAGAGAGAATTCCTATGCCAATAGGCATCTGGATTTCCCCCACACACACACCCCCCTCCCCCGTGGAAGCCACTAAATTTCTGGCCTATCAGCATGGCAGTGTAGTTGTAATTTGCTCCCTCCTTGGCAGGCGGCAGGGAAGCATGGGCACGGAGAGCTGTATAGGGCACAGCCAATACCGTAGTGCTGCAGGACTGATCAGAGCTGCACCTTTCATCATCACACCAATGACATGGGTCAGAGAGCCCCAGAGAGATGAAAGAGATAAAGCCAAGTGCTGGGGAGCGCCTCTATCAGAGCATGTGTGCCCCAGCCAGAATGTCACACAGGCTGGCAGGCTCCCTCCACTGACCCACCCTTGCTAACCTCTAGCCAGCTGGTGATAGTGCAGGAAGGGTTGTTTACAGTTTATTAAGATGTTTGAGTTTACATGTTATGGCAGCCTCACATGAGGTATTAGGAAGGAGCCACTATTGTGAAGGGCTTGATGGAAGAGCTGAATTCTGAGCTGACTCTGGAGAGCCCTGGCCACAAGCAATTAACCAGCTAGGTGTCGTTTTACACTCAGTTGCTGGGGACCAGGAATTGGGAGGGGACAGGGAGGAGCCTCCGTGGTCTCTGGAACATGACTGAGTAGTTGTAGTTTGGGGAATCAGATACAGCCTCTGAGTCTCATGTGGCATGCAACCACCAGAGATTTTACCCCTGGGAAATGGCTGAAAAAGCCCATTTAAAAGAGTACACTGATTTCCTGCCTGGGCAACATGTGTAATCTTTTTTATGAGCATCTGGAATGTTCACGGTAAATGAGGAGGAACAGTGTGTTATTCACCTGTACGTACAGGTCTATACTGGCAGATCATATATGTTCAAATGGACATAGGGCATTTGTCAGCTGCACCACCCTGGGTATTTAAACAGTATTGTTGGAAGTGTTTTACATTTGAAGGGAGCTTTATATGAATCTATCAAAAGCAGATGCCAGAGGTAATATACATGTCTGAAGGACTAGGGTGAGACAGGGCACATATACACAAGGCGCAGTTTGCGGGTAACATGGAATTTCCATTTTGGGATTCTCTTGCCAACCTAAATTCTGTCTGTTCTTTTGAGGAGACATTTTGGAAAGCGTAAAAATTTTAGACTGAGTATGCCACAGTGGTAGCACTTTAAAAACAGCAAATCATCTAACTCTCCAACAAACAACTTGCTTGTGAAAAAATTAGCATCTCCCCCCAAAATATTTATTTTTTTGCAAAGTTTTTGAGATTACTATTTTTTAAGTCTTGGCAGGTGAGACCTGGGTCATGTTCAGGTCATCATGCAGAACAGGTGCAGACCACCCCAAAGCACCTCACAAACCACAACAGACAAGAGGTCCTCAGGGTGTGTCAGATCACGAATGAATGGGCCCAATATTCAGGTACCCCCAGATATTGCTCCTGCCCTCACCCGAAACCATCTCTTAGAAAATCCAGGAAGGTGAAAGAGCTGGATGGAGACACCAGACCCTCTGAAAATGGACTCAGCACCCTCTTTCCTTGTATTTGCCCACCCTCAGTACGCTGGCTGGGAGCCTTGCAGTTTGCATGTGGAAACCAACAGGCAGGATGTGTCAGCTGAACTTAGAGGTTTGGCAGACATGGTTTCAGTTGCAGGACTCTTGGATCACAGCTCTGAGGAACAAAAGTCTTTATCTCTGAGCATTTCTTCTCTCAGCAACTTCCCATCTTGGTGCATTTTCCTTCTCTAAAGAAACTTTCAAGGTTTCCTCCTACAGGGAAAGCCTTAGTACTTCAAGCCAGTGGGGAGGGCTAAGGTCTTAAGATAGCTAAAGCTAGAATAGAAAACATCTCCCCATTTCCATTCCCCCTTGCACCTGCTTTCTCATTCTCATTTTCCCAGCTCAACCACCCAGCATTCAAATACACAGCAGTTGCTCCACCTTATCCTCCACTTCCGCACCAACTGTCCAGCCATTTTGGAGAGTGGCCTTTGTGTCACCAAAGTAACTCCTAGAAGGAACGCTGCACTGCCAAGACAACCAAGAAGTGTTCCAGAAGAGATCCCCAAAGGCTGTCAGACTTTAAGCCACAGGGTTTGGCACTTGGCCCTCAGCATGCGTAGTCTCTGACCCCCAGTTCTCTTTGTGTTAGCCTGGGAGCAGGAGAGTGGGTGCTGACAGTTTTTCTCTTGGCTTTGGGTGGGCCAGGGGGCCTTTCAGCTGCATTTGCAGGATTTCACCACCATGTTGGAGAGCTGCTCCACTTTGGGGTTCCTCCCAACATAGTACAAGATAGTGAGCGGCTCCAGGTCCTGGGGCACACAGCAGGGTGAAGCAGATGCCTCAGGGTTCAGCGTGTTGTATAAACCCAGAACCTGCAGAAACAAAGTAAATGTGGTGACAAAGTCAGGAATATGTTTCAGTTGGTTGAGGACAGGATGGGGCTGCAAAGTCAACAGGCCTCCAAATGTTTGGAGTAAGCTCATCAGAGGGTATTTCCCTGAATTGAGGAATACTGCCCTGTCACTTCCTGATCATGGCCTGCTTCTAAAGGGTCTCACCTGCCCTGGCCTGACTTTTATGACTTTGTTTTTTAACTGTAATAGCCTGTGACTGATGCCTAAGGGTTGAAGGAGTACAAGTAGTTGTCTCCTTTCATCTCTAATTTGGTAGAGCAGAATGTCACAATTTTTGCTTTTAACAAGGCTGGGTGTAACCAGCCTGGGGCCACGTTGTTTTTGATTCTATGAAGAAACCAGAAGAAAGAGTATCAGTGCTGCTTATTTCAACCAACATCTCCAGATAGCATTGGATGGATCCCAGTCTTCTCAAGTATCCACAATTCCCTCCCAGCTTTGAACTGTCTGATGCCTTCCCCCTCCACTCCATCCTCCAAGTCATTACACTACAATGCAGGAGCCAGGAGTGTGTCCTGTGGGACCCCACTGGATTCTTCCTCCCAGCTGGCCCCAGCCCACAGATGACTGTACACTGCAGCCATGTAACCAATACAAAACAGTTGCCATGTTTCTTGTCAGAGGTGACCACTTCTCTGCAGTACACAGCTTCTTGAGTTGTGGCACCAAAACATGATCTCACCTGCTCTACTGTGGTCTCTTTAGTGCTTATCTGGTATAAACGACAGGGTCTGGCACATTGTATTTTAACTACTTTACAGTCTTCGGGGATGGGAATTGCTAAGGATACATCCTGTTCTATGATCCAGATCTATGTAATCACAGTTGTTGTGGCAAAAATTCTCTGGGATACCCAGCAAAGTACCCCTGGCTGTACCACATGCTCTGGGGCTACTCTACTCAACAGCAAGTTAAACAGACTGGTAAGAAGTTGTCTTTTCACCATGTTCTTCCTAGTGCTGGCAAGCTGTCAGCAGCTATATTGTTCTAAAGGTTTCTATGATCACTTCACTGACCTTAATGCTTGATTGTTTCCTCTCTTGCTCAAGAACAGAACATTAGGAACCATTCTAAAATCTACTTTCTCTCACTGATTCTGGCCAGTTATCTACTAGAGAGCTTCTCAGGACAACCAGATGGTAAAGCTACATGCCCACTACCCTTTCAAAGCTGTTCATTCCCTTGCTTTGTCTTGTGCTTAATGCCCAGCATCTGTTCACTCCTTCATTCCCACAAATCAGCTGCTCCTACTGATATTAGTCCTTGAGCTTCAGTGAACCTTACTGCTGTGCAGACTCTCAAGCTGTCAAGAAAATGTTAGCATCTTTTCTGCAATATCACCTTTACCTAGTCATCCATTCTTCAGCTGAAAGTACTTTTTCCAGTAATTCTTTTAGTGAAATCTGAAGCTAAGTTGCTAGTGAGCTGTTGCATTATCTGGATTGCTGCCTTTTCTCTTCTGTGGACAGCAGCACAGGATTTTCCTCTGGCTTTTCCTGCTTCAGCAGTGGACTGACTGATCCTTAGTCTGTCTTCTCTTCTTGATACTTTTCCAATGCCTGTGCTCTTCTGTTGCTTTTATTTTCTTCCACTCTAGCCAGGCTCAGATTGTATTCTTCCCAAAGACTGACCAGTCTACTCATGTTAAAGACAGGTTATGTGTAAATTACCTAAAGACATTGCTTTCTGCCAGTTTTTACTCACAAATCTCACTGCCTAATAGGTTCCTCCCTGCTGTAGGTCAGGTATAAATCCTACTGGAAAGGATACCTGTGCAGAAAGGAGATCTTACTGAATGGCTGTATTCACTTCTAGACAGGGACATGGATTTCCCTTCACTTTTGGGCTACAGCTGCCCCTGTGGTAGCAAATGGCATGCATGTGCCATTGCACAACAGTTTTCCATTACAACCTGGCATAGAACATAGAGAAATCCTCTATCCAGTGCAAACAGCAGGAGAAATTTAGGCAGAATTGATATTTGATGTGAACAATTCAGTTAATACTATGGCCATTGCCAAATAAGTACCCTAAAACCATCAGTCCTGCTGTTTCACATCTTATCCAAGAGACAACAGCATCCTTCTCCTCAACATTTGCCTGAAAGCTCGGACTCAGTATGGACTCCAAAGGAAGCACATTCTTCCCCCTGAACCACCTTGGCTTTTTTCTGCAGTTTCCTTGAAATGGTTTTTACAAATATTGATCTGAACTGCTTTTGCTGCTTTGAAGAGACTAGATATTGATCAGACTTAAGGAGGAAGGGGGAACCACAGCCACAAGCCTTGACAGGATAATATAATGGATGTACCGTGCTGCGAGTGGTGTCTGCGCTGCGGAGGTACGGGCAAGGGCCCGAACAAAAGTTAGCAAAGTAGCCCTTGGGCTCATGGACCCATTTCCAGCCAAGGTCCTGTCGGAAGTCAATGTACAGAGGACGCACGCAGCAGTTCTCCTCCAGGTTCCTGAAACACAGTATTGGAACACAGTGAATGCAAAGGGGGGCCTTACATGCGACTGCAAGATGCAACTTCCCAAGCAGAAGGACTAGTATCAGCAGTGCCCAATGGGACGTGGTGTTTGCGTGTGCCAAGTGCGGAGGAGCGGCACAGGCAAGCGGTAGTGGGGCAGCTCAGCAGCCTGGCACAGCTTGTGCCTGCTGGCAGGCAGCTTGCCCACCACTCCAGAGAGGCAGCACCCAGCTGCTCTAGCAACCAACAGGGGGCTGAGGCAGATCCCTGCCCACACTGGGCTCCAGGAAGGTGCTTGCAAGTCTCTTCGAGCCAGGGGCTCAGCCAGAAGCACATTGCAACTCTGCGGAAATGGCCAGCAGACCCTTCTAGGACACCACAAGGAATAGCTGGCCAAGCTGTGCTCCTCAGGCGGCCCTTCTGGCACCATGGTGACCCACAACCCCCTTGGAAGAGCTCTGCCTTTCCCAGAGGCATGGAGTCTCACCAGGCTTACCCACCTCAGGCATAGGATCCAGGCATGATTCCCACTTACCGGAAACAGTAGTTGGTATCCAGGGCCCGTTTCTTTCTCTGGCCTCCCAACACTGGGCTCTCCAGTCGATGTGAGGGTAACATCATCAAGATGAGGTGGGGATTATGCAAGTCTTTCTGCTTCTTCAGGCGCCCCAAGTCCCCACGGCCATAGTCATCCTCACTGTCAATGCCTTCAGAGAAGAAGAGGATTCACAAAAAAGAAATCAACATGGAAGTGGAGGATGCAACAAAACTTCAATGCATTTAACACTCTCTTGAACCAGGTGAAAGGGATTCAGGCACCACGTCCACTTACTCTGGGACTTCTTCCCTCACAGGGACCCCTTTATTTCTGGTGAATTTGACTGCTGCAGGCCTGAAATAGAGGCTTACGGGCCACCTGTTTTACCATTTGCAAACTGCTGGTGGGGCCATTAATCCATCCCACTCACTCCTGGCTTTTGTCCCAGGACAGGCAGAAAGATGAATGGTTTAAAGAAGATGTCAGATAATTGGCACTCGGCAGAACAGCCTCAGAAATGGAGCCTGTGGGGGCCAGTGGCTGCTGCCCAGGGCTGCAAGCCAGGAGGTTCCTAGTTCTGAGGCCAGCCAAGCCACTGACTCTCTGAGCCACCTCACACGGGATGCCTAACTTCCGTGTGTTTCAGTCACCCTAACTGGAAAGCAGAGCCTCTGTGGAAACCTGAGAAGGCATCAAGCTGAACTTCCCAGAGAGACACTGTAATGCAAAATTATTCCTTTCTGCAGACACTCATGCAAGCCCACCCAGCCTGCTCTTACTTTCTTCCTTTTGTAACCTATGTATATAGCGGATATGCCCGTATAATGAACATGCAAACCCATATGTGTATGCTTTAAGACAAATGTTGCACAGTGTAAAATGCTCAAATATGCAAAGCAAGACCTAATTTTTTTCTTTAGATGCTCCAGGCTTTCACTTCCCCAACAGCCTCCCCTGACCCAGCTCTTTATCACCTTTGAACTTGATCTCCAGGACCTCATGCAAACTCTCCAAGATGTCCCCGTTGGGCTGAAAAGTATGGCAAGGACAATGTATGCTAATTTCCAGGCCAAGGTTGGACTCTGCAAAGAAGACGACTCTGTGAGACACAGTCTTTCTCAGCTGCAACAGCTCCTGGCACAAGGAAGTCTCACGGAGGACATGTACTGTGCTAATTCCTAGACAGTGGGCTAGTTTCAAAGTCAGGGATGCTATCAGAGTTGAGGAATGGAAGCTGCTTTGGAAAGGAGAATAGAAAGCAAAATCCTCCAATTTCACCTGTGCCAAAAGCCTTGCTCTTGTTAAAGGGAACTTTTCTGGGCAGATAAGAAGAGTGCTCCTGGTTACAATTTTTTTAGGCTATTCAGCGTAAATTTTGACTTTGTGAGCTTCAGGGAGCTCCACTGGAAAAAAAATATTTTGAATAGCTGGCTTGTGGTTGTCTGTTAAATCAGTTTTGCCATCCTTGGTACCTCTATTATCTGGCTTCTGGCTAGTGTCTGAAGGAGAGACCTGAAAATAAGTGAGTTGGATATGGACAAGTAATTTCATTGGAAGCACTCTTCTCAGCAGCTGCAACCTCCTGTTTTGTTGAACTGCTAGCGGTCTAAGTCACACAGACTTTCCAGAGGCAAGTCTATTTTCATAATAACTTCCCGGACCAGTCATGCTGTGTGGGCCTGACTAAAGGAACACAAGACTCTTATGAAAGCTCCTTTTTTATGTTGTGCCATGAATTAAAACATCTGGCTCCCTGGGGCATTGACAAGGTGCCTAGCACCTTTTTTCCTCAGCGCTATATATATTCTCTAATGTCTTGTCAGCTAGTGTGCCTACCCAGAGCTCACTGCAGTTCCAGCCCTGAACTCCAGCCATCAGGACACAACTTGATTGCTTGAAATAGGAGAAGCCTGCAAGCCCACAGCTTACCCTTCCAGGGAGCGGCTGCTTGCCAGTACCTGCATTCCAGTCTTCAGTGGCACCTAGCTTCTATCTGTGAGGCCAGTCCAGCTGTGAGTCATGATGCCTTATCCTCCAGCTGTGAATGGGGTCAGTGTTCTTGCTAGGAGCTGCCCCATAACTATCTGTTGGGCTGCCCAGTGGTGGCAGAGGTATGTTCTCTGCAGTGTTAAGGCCTCCACGTTTCTATGTATGTCAGCTTCACCTTTATACCTGACAAGCTGTAAACAGCTAAATAAGCCAGGATCCTTGCTGCTTTTTCCCCTACTATATTTGCTCTAATCCACATGAAAATTAAAGCAGAGCATTCCTCATTTTCTAAGTATTACAGATTATAGTCTAGACAAGCAGAGGGGTCCCCTCTGGGCTTAGAATTGAACCAAAAGAAGTTTCAGCATCTCTCAGTGAAAACAGTTTCCTCCTCCAGTTCTGACTCAACCGGCAGAGCTACACAGTGGGGCCTCCAGGGCAGAGCTAGGAATCTAGCAAACGTCACACACTGAGGAAGCTCTCTGGAGGAAGGCTTGTTCTCAGACTGAAAGAAGCTGTCCTCTATGTGAACCAAGCTCCTGCAACAAGGGGAGCAGAGAGATACTCCTGTCAACATGGATCCACATTTCTATGGATGCCTTGGCACCCGGTCCAGCTAAGACCCCTACCTCTGTGCAGAAGCCACTCACGCACAGTCTCGGTGACATCAAAGGACAGCCACTCAGGGGAGCCCCGTGTCTGCACATTCCTGCCACTGAGGTACCGCTGCTTCGCTATGTGCTCATCCGGACGAAGGATCTGTGTCAGGAGGAGTGGTAGAAAAAATCAGCCAGTGCCGTGCATAAATAAGGGATAGTCTTCAGGCCTTTTTCTTCCATGTGCTAAAAACTAATTCAGAAGGTTGGTCCTGGCAAGTGAGACACCAGGAATACCCTGGCACAGGTAAGAAGGACATGCTTCAAATCAACCTGAAGTCCAGAGAACTACACAACCCTGATTTCTGTGTCCTAAGCAGCCTGTCTCAATTCAGCATTGTTTTGGGGCACACATCCAGAGGCAGAAGCATACAGCCATTGATCTAAGGGGTGGGTTTCTTTCAGTATACACCTGTGGGATGTGGATCTGGATTTCAGAGTAGAACCAGCAATGGACAATAGAGCATCTGGCCACAGATCCCTTGCCCAGCAAGCCTATTTACTGAGTCCTCACTGTGGTGTTTTCAAGTTTTCTACTCTCTTCAACTTCTATCAAAACACACCAGGGCTGATCGTTTGGAGACCTCTCCCTCTGTTCTGACATCTCTTCCTATTTCCAGACAACTGCAGCCTGTTCTGCGGGACACCAGGTTGACTCCACAGAGCACTGAACTTACAGAGAAGCTCTGAGATCGCCTCCTTGTCAGTTGTGTCATCTGGTAGAGAATTGTTCTGACCTTTGAAGCTTCCAGGAAGTCCTCAAGAGCACCCACAGGGCAATTTTAGAGGCACTCTTACAGCAAAGTGGACAGACACGAGCCTGCGGGAATGTGCTGCCCGAATGCTAAACTATACCATTAGTTGGGTGGTCCGCTCTGGCCTAAGACCACTTCCAAGCCTGAACCAGACCTTATTCTGCCATAGGAGTCCATAAATTCAAAGCAAACTCCAGATAAGTACCTGGATTAACAGTGACATGAACTGTGTCCCTGAGGAGCTGCTGCTGAAGGGAACATTGAAAGCAAGCACTACTTTTCTAGTAAGTCAGAGACAAGACAGAGAGCTCCACCCATTGGATTAGTACCAATTGTACTGTGACAGCCAAAGGAACAAAACTGCCAAGGGACCTATGCATGCAGATGTGGCAGAAGGGTCAGGGCTGCTCCACTTGTGAGGAGCTTCCCTTCCAAACCCCTTCTCAGTGCAGCAAAGAGCTGCAGTGGGCACCATGCCAGGATGCCCAACGCAGACAGCCAATACGAGTGGGAAAAGGACAGCATCACATTGTAAAAGGGTAGAAAGGTGACTATCACTACATATGCTGGAAGAAGCCTGGGTTACAGCATTCAATTTCTTCTCTCTCTCTTCTGTGGCTCTGCACATATCAACTGAGGCAACCATTAAGGAGACAAGCTATTCTGGGCTCAGGCACTGGGGAAGGTAATAACAATACCCACCTGGAAAAGCTCGATGCGTTGCTCACTGCGTTTAGAGCTTGGGTTGGGCACACGCAGCACACGAAACTCAGCTCGGAATAAGTTGGTGCTGTTCTTCTCTGCCGAAGACACGTTAAAGCGGAACACGTTGGAGGTGACACCTTTTGGACAAATGCCCAACTCATCTAGGAGAAAGAAATAGAGAGACTGAAAACCACAGCTCTGTGGGACAGGATCTCAAATAAATATTGTTTGAAAAAGAGCTTTCCAGTAGAGCTTTCCAGAAACATCTTGCCACCTGTGAAGCATGGCTATCTAGATGAAGATAACACAGGATGAATTCACTCACATTTCCTCTACATTGCAACATTTTGCAAATATACCCACTACTGCCACTGTTATTTTAATGCCACAAGATAGAGAATCAGTAGAGATCGACCACAGTATATTTATTATTGTCTCCTAACTACTCATCAAATATTGCTAATGCTAATGAGTCAGCTGCATCCAAAACGACAACCCCAGCCCAGACAATGGGGCAACTTCACTTGCAGTTAGTGGGGCCTATTCCCAACAATGAGGATGGTGTGATTCTGCTCATGATGGAGACATGAAGCCACACAGGAGGTGATTGCTGTTGAATCTTAGTTTTACAAACCTTGACACTGTCTCCTAGAATGGAAGCCAGCCAATGTCTACAAAGCATGAGACGTGGAAGACTCTTTAGGGCAGCAACTATGCAATATGTACTGAAAGAACTGGGTTTTAAGATCAGCTCTCACTCATGACCTGGAGAATGAATTAATGAATAGTGCTAGGCCTGTGGACATCAGACACATGGGCAGTAAATAACACAGCAATCCTCTGCCTTCATGTGTGCCTGCTAAACACAAAAATCCATTTTACATATGCTTCAAAAGAGAGTAGGTAAAAGCTGTGCAGACCAGAGTCCTCAAGAGAAAATAAAGCTCTTCAATGGGACCATTTTGGTCTCGTGGAAGTCTTTGTTGTTGCTGTTGTTCCTTTCCTATTGACCTGATTAGCCTTCAAGGCTCTAGCATCATGAAGGCTTCCTGCAGACAAGACACAACAGCTCCTGCTCTACGCCCACATGCAGGTTTGTTTGCAGCCCTACAGAGCCTCTCATATGACCTCTGACTGTTGTCCAGTGCAACACAGGGCTCCTATCAGCTGATATTTGTTTCTAAACAAACAAAAAGAAACAGAAAGAAAAACTTATCACCTGTTCCCAGACATAGTTCCAGCCTCTGACAAATAGACAAGAAGCCCTAGCTGGAGTAACCTTCAAATTACATTCCTAGAGTTCTGCAGGCCTCTCTATTCACACCACCATCATCCCCCCTGAGAAACAGCTTCTGAAGATGGGCTAGTGTGAAACAGCAACAGAGCATAGAGATTCACTTTCTGTGCCAAATTCTGATGTGAGCAACACGAATGCATTTCCAGAGTCACATCCATGAAGGTGAAGGTTTTCCTGTTGAGCTACACTCGGATTCAGCAAGCAGGAAGGAGCCTGCCAGTTTTCAAGGATGTGTTCTTAGGGTGATGAAATTTTACTCAATAAACTAATGACCACATGCTCACACTGGGCTTTAACTGGAGGAGGTTTTGTCATTAGTGCTACAGAAAAGAACAACTCTCCCATAGGGGAAAGTCTCTGGCTGTTATTGAAGAGATGGCTGTTCACTAATGCCAGGAGACCAAACCCCACTGCAGCCATGAGCTGGTATGCTCAGCCCAACATCCCTGCAGTGCAGAATACACCAAGCCACACACAGACACCTGCTGTGGGGATTCCACCTGTGACCAGTTCTAGGTTTGATGCCACAGAAAAGCCCAGAAGAAAACCCAAGCTCTCATTAAACACCAAAGACATCTTCCTAGCTGAAGTCTAACACTGATAACTATTTTGTGTCCTAGACCTAGGCAGATACTGTGTTTTAATACTTCCTGAAGCTGTCTTGCACTCCTAGCCCTATTAACAGCGCTATTAACAACATGCTCTTCCATTTCAGACCTGCCTGTCCATAAGGAGTTGTCATCGTTGTGGTGGTCAATAAAAGAAAATACACAGACAGTCTAGTTCCAAGAAACAAGACAGGAGAAGAAAGAACTTTTATTGTAACAGAATACTGACTCTTATAGCCCTTGGCATAACACACATGTTAAAACTACCATTGGTGTTTTTTCATAAACATACATCACAATTGGCTGCCCTGCATCACACCATGATGATTCAGCATTTACAGAGTTACAGTGACTTGTTTAGCTCTGTCTTCCTTCCAACAGACCTGCTGTCAACCCTGACAAGGAGTGTCTCAAAAATCATCAGAAATGCCTTTTTACATCAGACCAGTGGTCAGTCAAGCTCAGGATGTTTCCAACAGTCGTGCTTTATGTGACAATCTGTTTAGAGACTGCAGATCTGGTCCTACAGCACAGTGCAGATGAGAGACAAATAATTTAGAGTGTATCATCTCCTTAAGATTTTTTGCTAAATTAGGCAGCCATGGTGGCAAGACATTACTGTATCTACTGTATTTCACCTACTGTCCCCACATTACTTTCTACCTACTTACTCCCCTTTTAGGGTGCTGGTCTTGGGAGACCTTCCCAGTGAAAACAGTAATAGCTCTCTTACCTTCCCTATGAAGCTTCATGTTCTCTTTGTACCCTGGGAACAAGCCCTCAGTGATGCGGAGATGGAGCTGTGACCTGTGTTTCACTCTGAACCACTGTGAGGCTGGAGCCTGCTTCTCATAGCAGGGTGTTCAGGATATAGGTCTCATTCCCAGGAAACTGACAATTTTGAGGCAGTTTTTTTTGCACAAGGTCACAGGCAAAGGCAGCAAGGGGATTTTTCGGGAAACTTGGTCCAGTCCCAGCTGAGGTGTGTTAATCACACTGGAATCCAGACATGTTCACCTACCAGCACAGAACAAAGCCTGCTGACAGTACTTTTGCAAGCTCTTCCAGTCCACAACACTCAGTGGCAGCAACCAAGCCTGGACACAGTGAATCTGTGACACCCTGTGCAGCCATGCCAGGCTATGTCTCATATGACAGAATGCATCCTCACAACTAGACCCTGCTATTACTGTGTAGCCCAGAGCTGTTCACTGCACAAATGATGAGACCAGTAGCCTCTCAGTGTGGATAATGTGATACAGGGATCAGGTTTTTTTGTGAGCTTCCATCTTCCTATCACTGCTGTCAACAAGGTTCAGGTTCACCACATGCTGCCGATCCAGCAGAAATGCCTGCTGTTTCTGGCCAGCCCCAGGAAGGCTGATGGCTCTGCAGTTCAAGTTTGATGAGAAGGAAAGGCAGGCTGTCTGTGAGCAGGTATTGCCTTGATCTATATTACACCACTGAATCACCAAGGTGTTTCATGCCAAAGCTGCATAACTTTGGTAAAAAAAAAAACTGATCCATCTGGAACTCTGCAGGTGGCAGGTTTGGAGAAAAGAGATGCTTGGCCCCAGTGACCCATGACTTTAATTGCCTTGTGTCTCAAGCTGCCTTGGAAAATGGCATGTGTTTTTCCTCAGGAAGGTAAGCGAAAAGCCATGAGCAGGACTGTTGCAGATGCTCTCTAAGTTTGAATCTAATCAAGTTAAAGGGGTCTGATCCCTATGAGTTTTAGGAGATCCCTAAAGTGAACGGCTGGTCAAAAGGGAATTATTCTCTGAAACAAAGTCCCTTATCATTCAGGCAATGTGCCTGAGAGGCACAGGAGGAAGACTATTCCATGAGTCACCAAACAGCTCAGAGAAGGGATGGGGAACCTGGTCCTGAATATCTGTCCTTCCTAGAAGGATATACTTCCTATTTTTGCTCCTCAGCTCTCCTCACTTTTGAGCCTTCAGACTCTGAGACTTTCTCTGAGCCAATGAGCTGCTTGACTAATAATCTGGAGCTAGAACAGTTCGTGTGAGTGTGCACGCATTTCAGACTTGTCTGTATCATCCTTGCAGTTCCTTCAACGGAGCGGTCCTCCCCTCTCCCTCCCCCCCGAGAGGAGACTGGCTTTAGCTCAGAGCATGCTCTGAGATCACCGCCTGGCACAGTGACAGAGTCATGGGAAAGTTGAACACCAGCCACTTCTGAAGACACAGGGCCAAATTCAGCCATGGTGTAAGCAACGAAACTCCCCAGGTTTCAAAAGGAGCGCTTGACACCACGATATGTCTGGAGCTAATCTCTCCCAGTGTGACCAAATTCTAAAGTTCTGAGTTGTGGCATCTACATTACCCACTCCCAGAAATTTAATCTCAGCACTGCTTAGTCTTTTGAACTCACTGCTCCAGTGTCCTATGGGGATGTGGGACAGAATCATTCATTTACATAGGCATTTTCCCCCACCCACAGTCCATGCTCACCGTTCCTTATTCTGCATCACTTTTTCATTTCTCTTTCCCCTCAATCGTATCTAAATTCACTCCTTTGACTTCACCTGCTGCTGTTGTGCTTTCAGTTTCCTTCCCCAAAACACATGGGTGTGTAGCATGGCTGTACTATTTTGCAGACACTTGGTTTCCCCATATGTTTAGAATTTCACAAGTGACACTTCAGTAGGTCAAAAATGTTGAAATACAGGTAAGCTGCTATACCCTGTGCACTTTCTGTTCCTTGAGTCTTGGTGTCTCCTGAGCTACGAGCTAATCATGACCACATGGAGTGCAGTCTGCTAGAGATCAAGTAAAATTTGTTGCCTTACCACATTGTAGCTCTTATTCCAGCTCATCATATGTCAAGATTAACATAAACCTGGCAGAGTAACTGCATTTTGACACTGCCTACACCAAGTCACAGCTCCTCCCCAGAACTGCTGGTGTTCCAGTCATGTCCCCAGAACTGCACTAAGTCACAGGAGAACACCCTGGATAGTGGCATGACTGCAACTTCCAATCCCAAGGAATCCCAAGCACAGACCAAAATGACTGCTTCTGCCTACATGTGCTCAGCATCTGCAATCTGCTTTGGGTTCATGTCTGCTCAGTCTCTGTCTTTGCATCTGCTCAGCTTCTGCACCTGAATCTGTTTAGTGTCCACATCTGGGCCTGTGCATCATCTCCTCCGCACCTGCTCAACATCTGCCGTGTTTTCCTAATGCCTAGGGGTCCCTTTCACATCACTGTCTGCTTTACACTTGCTCAGCACT